TCTGCTGCCTACTTATACTCACGCTGTGATCAGCGGCAGCTGGATGCAATAATCGCATGCCAATGTGCATTGGCTCGTTTAGTTTACACTCGAAGTAGATTGGTCTCTCTAAGCGAGATCCCAATTTGACGTCGAGAGTGACCGACTGAAAGGGAACAGCAAAGAATATTTCCTGTATATCGTTTTGATCTGAATTGTTTATGGCACTTTCATCTAAGGAGGTCACACTTATATTTTTAACTTAGTGCATGCAATGTTGCAGCTCCTAATAATGTTGCTACCCAAATGAAAAGTAACAGACTTAAGACACATTCCCCCAGTTTCACAGACACGGCTTAAGGCTAGTCCCAGATTAAAATGCATGTTTGAGCTGTCTCAACTAAAATATCTTGCATCGACATATCTTAAAAAAATGTCAGTTCCATTGTTCTGTCTCAAGATGCACACATGTAACGTTTTCTTCTAAGGCATTTTTATAAAAGCTGCTTAAATATCTTAATTTAACTAGGGCCTAGTCCTGGCTTAAGCTAAACCCCGTCTGTGAAACTGGGCCATTATAATATACTTGCCAAAGTCAAATTTTATTCAGAATTTTTGCATATTTGTACATGTTATGTCCTATTGTTCAGTTCTGCAAGATTTCCTGCAGGAGCAGGACTCTGATATGTGTCAATGGCGAGTTCCTTTTGCTTTGTAGTAAAAGTAGTCATATGATCCAGATGCTGCTTTCTGTGGAAATGTGATGTGACCACTTAAAAGAACAAAGAACTCTCTCTGTCTGTCTCTGTTACTGAGGCAGCAGCAAGAGGAGAGTGTATGTGTAAAGGGCAGTGCTTAATGACTGCTCTCCTTAAAGCCTCTCTTTACTCCACACATAATCACACACTCACAAGACTGCACACTTGTCAGTCAGTCTGTGTATTATGCAGGTTCACTCTTCAAAAAGCACTGCAGCACCTGACGGGATGCACTCCATCAAACAGCAGGACACACACTGCTGTGATGGCTGGTTCTCGTGAATGGCTCACACGAGCCTGGTGAGACAAACACAGAACAGTGTGATTTGCATGTGTGAAGAGCAGTGTTCGTTACATTTAAGCACGATGCTCAGTTCAGACAGCTGTGATTTCTGCTGAATCAGTGTGTTGTAGCAGAAATTCACTTATGTTTTCACAACAAGCTTTATGACCAACTCTCACAAGGTCACTTCCTCTAATGAGTTAGCCATTAAAGGCCGTACTCAACACACACAGATGTCATCAAAACAATGGGCGTCTGGAGAACAAGTTCATCTGCTGGTAATGATACTTGGTCTTATCATGATTCAGGCCTGTATGCGCAAGAGAGACAAATATATGGAATGTTTTCAGTGATGCTTCGGTGAGCTATAATGGCAATTTGTTTGAAATTTTAACATGTTAAATAGTGCATGATTAGAATTAGGAATGCACTAACATTGAAAATTTGACTAATAACCATAGTAATTTCATATGATGAACAATGTTATATACTGTTTGCCTGTCTCCTGTTTGTTACCTAATCAGATGGATACTGATCATTTAAAAACCTGCATATATCAGCAGTTATGTTATGCATAATATACCAGTGCATTTCTAGAATGAAATGGGATGCATTAAATTTGATTTAATTTATAACTAATTGTAATTCAGTGATCACCTATTTTTGAACACACAGTAGAAAAGACTTTGTTACAGTAGCCTACAATTGTTTTAAATGATATAACAGTTACAGTGTCAAAGAGTTAGATGCAATGTGCTTTAATATTGTGGGTAATGTCTGCTTGAGCTTCTTCTACACCACAAGAATATTGACTTTGCTAGGTGTGTGGTTTGAATTTGTGGAATGTGATCAATAACTTTGAACGAATGTGTTATAGTGTTACATTTGAAGAGAATAGCAGTACTGTGATGCTCTGTAGGTGTTTTTCAGTTCTTATCTGAAATGTCTGTTTATCATTATTCACAGTGAATTGTGATATTTGCTTCCAGTTAGCGGGAGTTGGTTAATGTTGGGCTGGTGTTAGATTTGAAACATTTGGCATTGCTAGTTCTTCCTGTACTGCACTTCTGTTAGTTGTGTCTGATTGAAGGATACAGTCTAGGTTAAGCCCTTGAGTCCATCTGTTGGTGATACTGCTGAAAACTTTATTTGTTGGATTACTTTGATTCCTCATTTTAATTTCCTTTTAGACAGATTAACCTGTCTAGTTATACTCTCTGAGAATGCTGTTGAACACCGTAAAAAGTAATAGAAACTTGATGATAGGTCCTAGTGCTGATGTATATATTGAGAAGAAAGGGGGGCCAAGCACTGAACCCTGAGGCACCCCTGTGGAATGTTAATGTGACTTAAACACCCCTGCTCTTCAAAATAACCCTGAATGAGTACATAGTGCAGATTCCAAGGGACCAAGGCTTGAGATGATACACAGGAGGATTTGGTAGTCTGGTTTCAAAAGCTAGGAGATTGAGGATTGATCATCTGAAAGTGGGTCTTGCCAACTGCAGAGCTTCCGGACTGAGTCTCTATTGAATGTCCTCTTTTGACGCCTGACTAGAGCAAATTTTTCTGTGACAGGAAAGAAGAGAGCTGATTGAAAATGACTTGTTTAAGTGATGTTGAATGAGACTGGGAGGAAATAATTATTTCACTAGTTTAGGGTTAATTCAATTAATTCAAACTTAATAACTCTCATAATAAACATGTTTACTAAAGAATTTATATAGGTTCCTTGTCTGTTAGACTTCCATTGTATGTTTATTATTGTAAATTTATTTTCTGCTTGTTTTCTTTTTAACAATCTGAGGGGTGAGTCTGTGGAATATGGTAATCAACAACATGCCACAGATGCTGTCCATAGTCTGTAAGCTCCCCGAAAAGCATAAACACTGTGGCTTTTTGGTGCTTTCAAAACATTGTTCTGTTTGTTTGAGTATCCCAACCATAATGTCAACCAGAGGTGTTAGTTTGGGGTGGGACTGCCTGTTTTTCTGGTCATTGGGTGGATGGGTGGAGTATTTGAGAATCCTATTTTTCCCTACTAGTATTTTCACAAATCCAACTAATAATGCCAGTGACGCAGAAATTACAAACCTTAAGTTGTATTTAACCTGAAGTATTCCTTAAAAGTTGTTTTAGGCCTGATCATCACCTTCATAATGAACTTTACTTTCATTCACCCTTTTCTGTTCTTTATGCTACAGAAAACTATGCGGTTAGCGGCCCAGAAGGGAAGACGGAGTCTGTGACCACACTGCAGCCACAGGCGTCCCTGAACTCCCTGCAGAGCAGCTCCCCTGGACCCAAGCGCTCTGGAAATACACTGAAGAAGTGGTTGACCAGCCCTGTCCGGCGCCTCAGTCACGGCAGCAACATCAAGAAGATCCCTAGCAAACAGAAGCAGAAACGTGATGGACGAAAGAGCATAGATCTGGGGCCGCCTGAACTACAGGATGACACCCTGGAGGAGGTACTGTACATTTTTTCAACTTACTGGAAAGTTAATTTTTCTATACTACATTGAGGAAAAGCTTACAGCCATCTGATTGAATTAAACGATAATACTACGAACCTGACTTATCACCTTATTTTTATACCATGGCAATCCAAGGAACTTCAGACAATACTATTATTACTGTGGTATGTCCACCGAACCATGATGGTAATCACTCTCCCTGTAATACAGTGTATTTACTGTGTTTTTGTTCTCCAGTTCTCACATGGCCAGACCAGCAACTTTTTTGTCTATTTTGTTGTTTTGCATAGGTGTTTTTACTTTTATTTCACCATTACAGACTTCACCAGTCTTTTTTCCCTCGACTCCTTTTTTCAGTAGGGAATACATCAACACTTTTTCAAAAAAAAAAAAAAGAAGATTGTCACAATAGAAATAACAATTTACAATGTTTTTAACTACACATCAGCTGTTACATAAATCCAGTCCAATCTTATCAGTGAAGTCAGGACAAACTGAGCTACATCACCATAGTTTGTTTATTTAAAGAATATCTGGTAACACTTTAGTATAGGGACCAATTCTTACTAGTAACTAGTAGCTTATTAGCATGCCTATTATTAACATATTGACTGTTTATTAGTACTTATAAAGCACATATTCGGCATGACCATATTCTACTTCCCTAATCCTACCCAATACCTAAACTTAACAACTACCTTACCTAACTATTATTAAGCAGCAAATCATGAGTTTATTGAGGCAAAAGTCGTAGTTAATGGTTTGTTAATAGAGAAAATTGGACATTAAAATAAAGTGTGACCGAATATTTTTACATTTCCATAAGAATTCCCCAAAACAATGTTTGTTGTCAATATTTCACGTTTGTGTAACAGCATGTGGTGATGGTAGACAGCAGCTTTTACGTCAGAGTGTTTTATAACCGCTCCTTCATTCTCCATCACCATTTTTTACGCAATCATGACCATACAGAGAAAATTAGGCCTGTTGTTCTGTATGCTGTATTAATGGTGTATTAAAGGGCTGCTATGGCCCCGGCAGCAGCCGTTCAGATCGGAGGGTGATGATTAGCTTGACTTTTTAAAGCTGTGCGCCATATAATGTGCTGGTACAAAAGAGCCTCTGTATTTGTCAAGCAGGGTATGTGAACCCCACCACAATGACCCATATTAACCATGTCTGCTGTCTTTCAGAGCAAATTCTTCAACAACAAACTCTGAGCATTTAAACTAGTGCACTAAAGTCAAATAATATAGCAATAAACTACTTGAGGCTGTGTGTTACAGTTACAGTGATTTTATCACAGGTAAAGGATTTTGTAAGACATAAGTGTGATAATATCACTGTAATGTGTTGCCTCGTGTCGTTTATGGTCCTCGGTAATATGATTTCAGTAGTATGACATCAGTGTTCAATATACAAAGCAACATAATTATCAATGATTGTTCTATAAACTAGATTTGGAGGTGCTTACGCTTGCAAAACTGTGCCACAGTGCATATTTTGAGTATTTTTTTGGTGTTCATAATTTTCAATGATAATTATTCATCACTGAGAGTAATAACACAGTTTGAGGTATTATTCAGGCAAGTATTATGTACATTAGCCTCTCTGTAGGCTGTTTGCCATTCAAAGGTATTTTTACAAATGATTGAACCTTGTGAAAAAGTCATACATTTTAGCATAAATTTAAAAACAAAAAACATACTTATTACAGAAAATACACTTTAAAAAGTTATATCTTTTAAGACTAACTTTTGTTATATAGTTTAGATTTGTATTAAATGCAATTAGTTGAATGTAAGAGTGCTTTTTTCACCAACTTAAGTTTGACTTAAGTACATTTTTGTATGCCATTTCAAAATTTGCTTCTGTTGTTTTTAAAATAGCACAGTCAAATTGCTGAATGTACTGACAAGAATCGATGGTAAACTAAACTATTTAATGTAATTTCTATTGAAACGTATATCATGTATTTAAATATATTTGTATTTATTAGAGCTGGGCAAGTTAACGCGTTATTGTCGCGTTAACGCATTAATTGATTAATGCCAACAATTATTTTATCGAGCATTAATGCAGTTTTTATTATTATTATTATTATTATTTTGAAAGTCCGTTGCTCGCTGGCTCTGAATACACGGGTCAAAGACATTAAGATGTCCACATCAAAAGAAATTTATAAAAGTGATTTTATGTCCATAGAAAGCACATTAAATGTAAGTAAAGTGTCTACTTTTAAGGTTTCAAATTAGTTTTCGGAGAATAAAATGTCAGAATTTGGTTGAAATAGTGTTACATTGTCATTCAGTGTAACACAATATTTATGTAAAAATTCAAACAACATGCTTATTCTGACGTGTACATATTAAAATATATAAAAGAATAAGGGAGCATATTAAATTTGATTGTGTTTTAAATGAGTAAACAATACTTACTGACAAATGGGCAAAACCTAGGATAGTGGCAAATTTTAAAAATGTAAAATTACAACTAATTAGTATTTGGGGTGAAAATAATTACTCTTTTAATATGTCATAAATTGATTTTTGTTGTAAATATGCCTGACAAGATTGTTACACTGAATTACATTTTAGTGGGTCTCTTCTGTAAATCAGAGAAAAATGTATGATATTTATTTTTTGCTCAAGAAAAACAAAAACAAAATTGCAATTAAATTAAACAGATTTTTTTTTTTTTTTTTGGAAAAACATCAACAATTTAAAACAGTATTACACTTATTGTTTTTATGCTTAAACCCTTTTTCGTCTTTGACCCACATACAGACAAACCATGGGTCACAGGAGGGGTGGGATGTTGATCAGTAGCTACTGGCTTGGGATAAACGTCATCACGAGTCTCAATGAAAGCATTTGGGGAGGGCCTAAGACTGCAGGAGCACTCCCAATAAAATTATTTAGGCTAAGCATCAACATTCACAAACCACTGTTCACTGTTATTTTTTAACAGGAAAGAATGCAACGTGCTCGTAATCACGACTTCATAAGTGGGAAACAGGAAGTTTCCGATAGCACGCGAAGACAGCAGAGAAGCGCTCTCGCTCAGCACAGTGGAGTGCATCGTTTTGTTAACTTTGTGGTTTATTATTTTGAGTCGTTTGGGACGCTGTAACACACGGCCCTCTCACAATATATTGCTTTACAGATCTATCACTTTTACCGCTCAGAAATGTTCACGCAATCAACTGCAGAAGTTCAGCGCTCCGACACTACATGCGTACCACGCACGAGCCCAACTGAACCGTGCTCTGGCCCACCTCTTCCAACCGAGCCAGGGATGGCTAAACAACCGCGGCAAGCTGCAAAATATTTTCTATAGAAACGTTAATGCCCTGGCAGTGGCAAATAGCTTTGGTTTTATATTTAATTTGATTACATTAATGTTTAAGTTGAGATTTCCAATAAATATTTTAATTGCTACTATGTAAAAGGAGTACTGCTGCAAAAAAGCACCTTATTTGTTTAAAGTGTTTGCAAACCAAATGTTATTGCACTTTTGTTCATATAGCAGTACTTTTAAATGAAAAAAGTGCACAATACACTACTTTTGAATTCATTATTGAATTTTGTGCATAACAATGCGGTTAATCGCGATATTAATCGCAGAAAAACCATGTGATTAATCGTGATAAAAAAAAAATGTAATCATTGCCCAGCACTAGTAATTATATATTCGTAAAAATAAAGTTGCAATTAGTACATTCCAAATATGTTAACAATGTTGGAAAATACCATAAAAAATACCATACTACAGTATAGTTAAAATTAATATCAACTATTTTAAATGTGCTTTTTAGTATGTTAGTCAACATCCAAATAAATGTAAACATTTTTTAAAAAGCATTTAAAATTAATTCAAACAAGTAAGTTAAGTCAGTAAGCAAGTTAATTCAAACATTATGATTTAAAACATACTTTAAAGGGGTCATATGATGTTGCTAAAAAAAACATTATTTTGTGTATTTGGTGTAACAGAATATGTTGA